CACTCGTTAAGAATTTTAAGTCTCTAGTTTTAAACCAGCTTTTAGTTAGTGCTCATTTGTTCCAAGTATTGCAGGAACTCTGTTTTCCTGATTCTGAACAATATTTAATGTCCAGTTTACTGGTGGCTCATTAAGCGATACAAATTTGGAGTGCAAGGACGTTTATGTAGTTGGATTTATATCCACCTCTGGGCCATTCTCTCTCTCTCTCCCACACTCTCCCTTAGTGTGCGTGAGTTACAATGTCGTTAAACGCTTTAAGGCCCCATTTATTTGATAAGTGGAGTTAGTGCTCTGAGCGTTATTAACCAGTGACTATTTGCTTAATGTTCGTGGCGTAGTCCGATGAGGGTAATGGCATCGTAAAAAGAGCAAAAATGGCTTTGGTTTTGATGAATAGTTTTGTTCTCTTTTGGCGGGTGACTCTCACTTAATATTTAACACGCTTAAAAATTTGCAAAACAGTGTTTATTGTGAGAAAGTGATATGTTGCTGACTTAAACTAATGGTGACATTTTTTTGGTTAAGTTAGGTTGGAATTAAAATTGTTAAGACGAATTAAGCTGTCTAAATAAAATCAGATACAAATGTTCCAAAAATGTGCTTTTCTTCCTAATATTGTCGTTTGAGGAAACCAAACTTTCCGTATGCTTAAGTCATAATAACCTACTCTGGAACAATGATAGGGCATACTTGAGTTAAGGATTTATCATTATCTTACACGGAAATCATTTTCAATCAGTACTGCTATGGGGTTCCGATATTTTATCTAATAATATGTCAATAAACGTTGAGGTGCTTATTATTATATTTCTATTCTATTTGAAGAACACAATTTTATCTTAATTCAGAATATTAAATAATATAGGTTCTACTGAGATCATATAAGTAGAAATGTTTAAAAGGTTTTAGGATTATTGCTAATTTAGTAAGACAGTTTCTGGAGTGCGCGACAGGCTTACCTTCACGTGGTCAGCCCTGAGCAGTACATACTCATGCGGCAAAAGACTATGGACTGGTAGTTGACTTCAAACTACCATGACCCCACCGTAGGTCATGTTGCATCAATTCACAGTACTCACCGTACCTTTGTGTCAGTCTCTTTTACACTTGTGAGTTCCTCTTCTGTTTCCCTCCCATCTCGACTTTTGTGACTTTGATGCTCCTCCCTTCTATGATGCCCGAAATCAACCAAAGCGCTAATTATTACTATCATAATGCTTGCCATTTGATGTAAATAAATAAATTAATAAGAAAGACATTTTCCCAATGCGATTTAAATGATAACTAGTCAAGCTTAAAATTAAGTTAGCTCTTCGGTTTACGCCACGACTTAATCCATACAAGAATCTTTTCGATGACCTAGTACGTCTAAATGAGAAAGGAAGAAATATTTAAAATAGCTATTAACCCATTAATTACGTAACTTTAAGGGCTAGAAATGAAAAGAGAAAGAGTTAAATAGAATCACGTAGACGTTTGGCAATGACTGGAAAATGGACAAATGAGTATGAAGTTGAATTGTGGGATAAGGCGGGGGGGGGGGGGGGGGGGTGGAGTACCAGAACTGATCGACGACAACCTGGATCGTGGGAAACAGTGAAATAAGAAATACTTGATCTTGTTCTGAATGCGTTGCTGTAGAAAGAGTAGACCTATGATGGCCCTTAAGATACATTCTTAAAAGTCTAAATGTAAACGCATCATTATAAACCTAACCATTAGGAAGTCCAACTGTTTTGAAACGGAAGTTCTACGTCTTAACCAATGTCACACCCTTAACTTGAGCTCTGAGCATGTGGCTAACAGGTAGTGAAGGTGGATTTACATTTAGCTAGGCTCCTACGGATTCATTCAGATATGATTCATATGTAGCATAGCTTCAGATCCCCCAAAATAATTCAGCGTGCCCAACAATAAAAGAGACGTGTTTAAATGCACTGAATTGAGCATTTAAACTCACGGTGAAATATTCAACATTTACAGCTAACTACTTGGTCTACCTTCAAGTATTTATGTAGGACCTACTGTATCTTGGCTAACCGGTAGAAACCTAACCTAATAGAAGTTAACCAATTTCCAAACCGTTTACTTTTTTTTTAATTTTCTTTTGATTTGCCATATTTGTGGTTGGCAATTTTTGCAAGGTAAAACAGATGGAGAAGTAATGAAGGGATGTATTTGTGCGATTAATATAAGAGATAATTCAATAAAAATTGATAACAATTCATAAACTCCAGGGGAAAAAACGAGGAAGGATCTCCTAATTTCATCAAACGAAGTTTGAACAACTCAAAGTATCACCTACAAGCAGAGAAAAAGCAAAATGGTTGTTTTTTTTATTACAATCGAATCTGACATATATTATAAATGAAAATGGTTTGGTTGTAGCTAAAAATTTGCGAGGGAACTGACAATTTTGGTTTGATAACAATATTATTATTTTCATATAACATTTTAGTGATTTTAATTCACTAAAGTAGTTGTTCAGAAAGATGACCATTTTTCTTAACCGCCAATAGACAACGCCAAAATTAACCAATCAAATTAAGCTTTATATCATCTAAACTTGTTCATAATATTCCTTTTTAATTAAAAGTCTCATTAAAAATAACCTTTTTGGAATTTAAAGTGGTAGGTAGCTTCTCAATTACCCTCTGTGTGAGGAACGTTGACTTTAGTTTAATTGGCTCACTATTTCAATAACAAAGGCCATGGAATAGCAGGACATTCAAATAAAAGGGAAAATATTCCGGTGAGCTTAAAGCTTAAAACACTTAATCGAATTTTTCATTTATATTATATTAACATTAAAATACACTTGTGCTCATAGAGATCTGTGGGACACGTCATCGCATACCTGCACGCCAGGATTGGGAGGTGCGGCCGTACAACCAGTGGCCAATCAGAAACCTCCGTTTATTTAACCTAATCCGCCATCCTGATCATGATCAAGCTCCCTTCGTGTACACTTTACTCGTAATAACCCTACTGAATAAACGTGTTCCGTGCTATACGTCTGTTTCCTCTATAACTGGGCTATAGATTAGTTGGTTCTGGGAGTCTAGCTAGATGTAGGAGAATCTGCCACAGAGATTTCTGAGTCAGTCAGGCTTTTCTAGTGTAGCAATCCGCTACAGATCCGTCAAGCATGCAGATTACTGGATTCTTCGAAATTACTCACATCCACCATTTGTACTTTATGGACAAAATGGCACTTAGTTCTAATTGGTTTGAATGGCTGATATATTTTTACAAAAAATAGCTGAAAATTCATCCGCTTTATGATCAACTTACGATAATCGATTTCAAAACAGTTGAACCAAGCATCGCGGCTAATTGTCCGTCCACTGATACAACTTCCTAGGAAAATCTCCAGACATGCCAGGGTTGGAAGGGCCACTTGAGTCAACATTGCCAATTCTCGCTCCTCAATCATACTGGATGTCATAAATGCACAAATTTTTTACATTGTGATTAGAAAGAAATTAATCCAAATACTTGGCCACTTCAAGTGAGTAACAATAAAACCATAAATTCTCCTGACCGTACACACTCTCAACTAACCAAATAATAACTGACATAAGTGGAAGAGCATGTAAAGGAAAAAGTGATAAAACATATCTAATCCAGAGTTTTTCTCAGTCGTGGAGATTTCAAAGCTAAAACGCAGGTCAGTGCAGTTGATATGCCCTTTAGCTAATTGTAAACATGAATGTTATTGACGTAGTGCGTGAATCCTTCCCGCCTCACCCCCTCCCCACCCCCAATTTCAAATGTGATAAACACTTCATAAACTATACGGAATCAAGAGGCTTGGTAGGTTGAATGAAAACACTCTTGTCCAAATTGTTTCTACCCCCCCCCACACCCTCCCTCCCCAAACCCCACCATCTGGTAATTAACCAGATCTGTGCTCTAGGAAACTGTTATTATCAAATCCAATTCTATAAGAGTGAAGTGGCTTCTATGGTACTTATGTTATGGCGAAACCATCGTTGATTATCTGACTGAGAAAACGTCCTCCTTAGTATTCCGTGATCCGATGAATTGTTTTGCCCTCGTAAAAAGCCAATCAAGGCCTACATCTACGCAATAATAATTCAAATATTCTGACATGCGTATCATTAGGCTTTGGTGTGAGGAATCTTGCGATGGAATTGTAAAGACCACATCGAAGTAAACAGCCTCTAATTCCTTGGAATCATACTAAAATGCCTAATTGAATTTGACATTACACTAATTGTTAGTAAATTATCGAATAGAATAAAATTGATTAATTGATAGTAAAAGCACCTACCCACTCTTGTCGACATCCAATTCACAGAAGACAAAACTGAGAAGTGGACCGGAGTTCTCGCCGTTTCGCCCAATAGTTTTGGAAACAACACTATCTAGCGTTAGCCAGTCGTGTGGAGACCTTGGACGTAAGAGCACATTGCGGGGATCTGACCCGCCATTCTATAAAGAAAGAAATGATTCCATTATTATCGACTTTTGATACAACCTCATCAACAATCTTTTAGCCCACTTTGAAAAGAGATTCACAATTATTTTAGATATTCCTGATGTTACTAGTCCGCTTATTTTGCGTAAATAATTATAGATTTTTCGGTATTTTTCACAATTTACTTTATTGCCAACTATATTTTCACAATAACTCTCTTCCATTTAATTAAAAATAAATAACATAAATTGAAATACATCCACACTTTGTGCATGAAAGATGGGTTAATGGATAGTTTACTTATAAAAATATCACTTTGCACAATAGTGCATAAAGTTATTAAAAACCCAATGTACTAAAGTAGACGAAAATTAGTTGATTGATGGGACAACCACATGTTTGAAATAATTGAATGTAAGTCCATATTTTACCCATAAATATTCGTTATTTTTATTTGAAAAATTTGGTACTAATGCGTTTATATCGAGAATATATAGAAACTTACGGGGGAGCGAATGAGTTGTTGAAGCCAGACCACGAATTGGTACTTGAAGTATCGCTGTTGTGCTGCCCAATTGCACTTGGTGGTAAGTTCTGAAATAGAATTAGAATATTTTTCTGATATATGGTTTGGCTATTAGAGGAATCAGTCATATTGATATTAGATTGTGGGACACGTTATCGCTGTGTGCGTCATCGTATGCCTGCATGTCTGCTCGCCAGGATTGGGAGGTGCGCCGTACAACTCTGTGTGCAGCGACCGTACAAACAGTGACCAATCATCAACCTCTGTTTAACCTAATCCCCCATCCTGATCATGAGTAGCTCCATGCGTGTACACACTTTATCTGCAATACCCGTCCTGGATAAGCGTGCTCCGTGCTACACGTCTGTTTCCTTTATAGCTGGGCTATAGCTTAGCTGGTTCTGGGAGTCTAGCTAGACGTAGGAGGATCTGCCATAGAGATTTCTGAGTCGGTCAGGCTTTACTAAGGTAGCAATCCGCCACAAGATTAATGTGAAATTTTGGCACTCAATATAGGTACTAGTTAACCGGACAAAATACAAGTACTGTAAAATTATCTTAGGCTTAAAAGTAAAACGCTAATTTCGGATTTTCTGTCAAGAGGACAAATGACTCGAAGGACATCTGCAAAAACTGCATTAATTGTGTTAATTTTCACCGAATCCTTGGTTCACTCTCACTTCATATGGATAGGTCCAATGTTCTGATCCACCTACCTTGAATTTGAATAAGCTCTGGAATGTGTCCTTAGAATGTGAAGAACAATAAGCTTCCAAAAGCTTGAATATTTGATTATTTTATATTGTCAAAAGAATCGAACACGTGGTGCACCCTGGGCAACGTATACTCATGCGGCAAAAAAGTCGATTAACCAGCAGTTGACTTCTCACTTCAAATTACCATCACCTCACTCTATGCCATATTCGACTATTTTCACAGTACTCACCTCACCTTTTTTCTACCCTTGTATCTCTTTCTTTTACATCTTTGAAGCACTCTTCTGTTCCCCCCGCCCCTACCGAATTTTTTTCACATTGATATTTCTTCTTTTCTGTGAGCCCTGAAGTCACATAAAGGGCTAATGAAACTATCACAATGCCTGTCATTTGATATAAATAAATAAATATTCGTTAATATCTTGCAGTTCTGATTTTAAACAAATATCATTAAGCAAAAGCTTATATTCAATCCTCCCCCCCATAGCGTCCTTCGAGTATAAAGTGTAAGAAGGTGCTAATAACTCACCTTGACACTCTGAGAAATAGCGAATTATTGAATCTGTGTCTGCACGATGACCTCCAAAGTAGCGTTCATCACCACAGCGCGGGTCGCCTTCACGACAGTAGCAGATGTTGCGATAGAGATCACAAGTATGACTATAGGTGTATCCGTCCACACAAATCTAGAGGGTGGTTTGAGGATAAATCAATCAGAAACAGTATTAAAAAATTCCACGACTTACAGCAAAAAGAGATTTTTCGGAAGTGCTTATTAGAATAAATAAGAATAATAACAAATCACCGTTCACTAAAGCCACTTAACTGTAAATATCCCCAAAGCTGAACCCTCAAACTTCAAATTTAGCCTCTTTGGTACTGTAAGCCAAGTAGTAGTGATTCTGAGAGTAAAAGTACTTTAGAGCACAATCAATTAAGACTAGACCTGTTCCCCCACAAATTCGATGGCTTTCTAAGGGTTAACGGGACCAGGAGTCGGGTGGAAATACTAGCACTGGACAATTATGGAAGGCGGGGATAAATGGGAGAAGAGAGTATGGAAATGACGTAGATTGATGTGAGCCACAATGGTGTTCACGTCGGTATTTGAGAAAAAGACGTTAATAAACATTAGGAGAAATTTCCTAGTTTTACATTTTTTGGTGAGCCACTCAATGAGTAAATAGAAACCCGTTACGATTCAGTCACCTGATTTAAGCTAGGCTTTCTTCCATGAAAGGCGTCTTGATTATGCTGTGTACCAAAGACACAAATTCTAATAGATTTTTTTCTGATAAATCTAACCAAATAGAAATTTCATTTAATGCTTGCTTGTGTTAGCTTCCTACAACTTGGCATTTCTAGCTGAAATTTCTAAACATAAATTAGAAGAATTTTTACTTGCCTTATATTTTAATACATATTTGAATGTAAACCAAACGTTTATTTATTTTTTTAAACATAATTTGTTTATCTTATGTTCACTGCTGGAAGTTACATTTATCTCTGAATAACCAATTGCTAATACCTAATTAATAATTAAAATTAAGCTGGAGTATTTATGCCCCGATTAGCAACCAGTTCCGCGTCACACCGTGCAAGAAAAGTTCAGCAAGATTTCGACCTTCCAACTCCCTTGATAACTGGAAGAAGGATGATTTCAGCATTATGATGGAGGTGCAGATTAGGTTAGCGGAATCTCTCAATTGCATAAAGTCAGATTGCACGCTAACATTAAAACAAAGGAGCTGCACTATATTTTGAACAAACTTCAAAGTCATGAAAATTGATCTGTCATTATATAGTCCGCGAACACTGTGCACTTCCGGCATGTTAGATCGGCACACACACACACGCACGCACAACCCAGTGTACGCGGTGGCCAATCGCACCGGCGGCTCCGTTACGTCACTCAACACGCAACCTGACCGCTAAAAAACCGCTTCCTGATATTTTGTTATTTTTGCAGAAGTTGTGCAATGTCATATTGGGAATTTTTAAATTCTCCTTTTTTCTTTGAAATATGGCCAAGTTAACTCACTTTGCTATAATGATTCCTCCAATCACCAGGGCAGAAGTCGTAACAGTGGCACTTTCCATTCTTACAATATTCCCCTAAAGAACATTTGACATCCGCACATTCGTCTTCCTCCGACTCTAAAAGTACACAGATAAATTGCAGATTATTTCATTATGGAGTGATGTGGAGCAGACTTATAGGGGGGGGGGGAAGTTGTGAAAAGCATAAAATGATATTTTTTATTAATTAATTTTGTATTAGGTGTTATTTTGAGAAATAACCTTGGCATACGACTTTCTAATTGTGAATAGTTACTTAACTGTATGTGTATTAAAGTTAAGTCCATTTATTGGAATTAAGTAAATCGATAGGCGCAAAACGAAATCATGCTTATGGCTGAGTCTAGTGTGTTATTTCTTGCGCTAATATGCGATAAATATGAATATAATTTAGATATTACTGTCTTTTTGGGCTGAGGGCTCAATAACCATCCTAACTTGAGAGGTAATTAACTACTTGATTTTTATATTAAATAAAAAATTGTTTTTACTATCGGATTAATACCACCCGCCACCTCCCCCCCTACCCCCCCCTCCCCCCCCTCTCACCCCCAAGAATTCCTATTAAAAATGAGGGTATTTTGGTTCACATCTTAAGTTGAAACGGTTAGCTGGAATGGTATGAAAACAACACAATTTAATCAATTGGACCAAAATTTGGAATTTCGTGAGTAAGGATGTGGAATTCAAGTCCTGAAATTTGGTACTTCAGGAAAAGACGACCTGTTTGTTCCAGAAGTGGAAGGGAATAATACACTTTGGGTGCTCTGATATTATTCTTCACTTTAACACAGCTTATGCTTAATTTTATTACAAAGGGTAACCTTTCGATATTCTGTTTTTTCTCATTGGTAAAAAATATGCATAATTAATATGCAATTTATAAAAACGTTTGGCTTTCATTGATATTAATAAGTATCTCTCATAAAGCGGTCTTACCGGAATTTGGCACAAAAAATTAAATATCACAAAGTTATCGTGTAAACATCTATCGCTGACGCGTTTTTATTGTTTAAGAATAAAAAGCGCGCTATTTATGATGCGGAAATTCAAACGGACCTATTTTTCCTTTTGTTTCTGCAATAAATCACTGAAATTTCGTTTATTGGAACTCATTGTTGAATAGTAAAAATATAATATAACAATTCAATCAAAAAACAATTCCTACCTTCATCCCAAGGTTGAAGTTCATTATAGACTGACCTTGACTAAAGTATGGAAATCGGTCAATTTTAACGATATGAGTAGGAAAGAATTCCATAATTATCGTGGGGACTTACACGCACAACTATTAGAACCTAAAATTGAATTAAAAGGCATTGGATCAATATATGGCCAAGAATGGGCAGTAGAATTATAATAGTTAACATTTGTTAAAGGTCAAATTAAGATTAAGACAGGAGATATTGTGTAACTGATTGTTCTTCTAGGAAATAATTTTAGTGGCTGTGAAATCACTAATTTCATTCCAATTTTCCGAATAACTAACAAGTCGACACTTGATCTGTGGATAACAGAAAACCTGGTCATGCTGAGGCACAGGTGATGGAGAATTCGTTCAACTTTCAGAATCACACTCCACTGTCCTCTATCGCCCAAAGATTCAAGGTGTTCATTCACTTAATGTTTTAGCATTTAAGGATTAATTCGAAACCCTAGGGTGTGCAATATTGGTCCACGGAAGGGTTATTTTTTGAAGCTATCATGACAAAACCCTATAACTCAATTATTTTATTTAAAATTGAAATTTTATAAAATGTTTGTTCAAACTGCCATTAAAATAAGAAATACCAGTTAGATTTGTTTAGGTTATTTAAACAAACACGGGTGCGTTAAAATAAAAAAGGGTATTGCAGTTTCTGCTTGGGAATGAAAAAAAAATTAAATCAAATTTTCTGATGAACAGCTGCCCGCTCTTTTTTCTATTTTTCTGCAATTTTTTAATTACTGATCAATGTGGACTATAATTGTGCTAAATAATTCCACAACGATTTGTACATTGTAAAATTTAATGACGCAAGTAATTAATTATAAGGAACTAGATGAGTGAATTACCAATCAAAATTTTACAAGTTTTGTTCGAAAGTGTTAGCCTTATTTAACACTTTCCAGATTCAGACCTTTGACTTATGGGAGACCCATTAATCCACCAATCAAAGACAGCGAATAATAATATGAAATAGGAAACAGACGCACTTACAGAAAACATAAAAAATACAAGTCGAAGGTGATGTTTATTCCATGTCATTGCGGTTCTACGTGGTTGCAGTGATCTCACAATCCACTTTTTGTTTCGTTAAAGGCACCCACACAATGCTGCGCAAAACGTTGGTCCATCTGTCCGCGACCTCGAATACAGCCAATCAGAGCCGGGTTTTCGGAAAAACAAGTACAGGCACAATTGAAACTCGATTTTTTTGCATGAAGTCATTCTTGAACTGTTTTCCATCAAATTTTAAATACCCGTTAAATTAAACGTCCTCTTCTATCTAACCGGAAAGAATACGGCATGGTATTAATAACGACTTAATATAAACCCTCTAACACCCGAAATATTTTGAAAAAATGCACCCAATTGCACTCATGCGTGACTTACAGTAGACTAATGAAGTCGACGTGATGAGCTTTGGTGGTATATCAGGTGAGGGCTATAGACACGTATTGAATGTGTTTCAAAAGGCAATAGCGCCTTCTGTTACGAGTCCATTACCACTGGAGCTTATTTTGATAGAAAACCATACTGTCCTAATGGCGTTGACGGTTAAGAAAGCGGAGCTTGTTCGGCATTAATAACCAAATAATCAATTTCAGTTGTGTAAATGGAGTTGAAACGAGGACTGGATAATGTTCCGGTAAGACATAGAGGAAGTGGATAAAAAACAGTGTTCTAACGAGGTCAATCTACCCAACTATTTGAATTTGAAATGCTGAAGGTTGTGCGCTTTTCAACGAGCATCTACGCCTAAATTTTAAGATTTGAACCTTAGATTTCCGAAAGCGTTTATGTCCGCAACTTTCAGCGTTTACCGAGCTCCTGAAAAGGCAAAGATGAACTTGTATACATAGGCACAGTAGGAATTATGTTATTGCAAGCATTTGAAAATTTTATCACCCTTCCATATATCACTGTCAGTGAATGTAAACATTCTAGCAATCGTTTAAAGGAATTAGATGAAAGTATTCCGATGATTATGTAATGTAATTAACTCGGCTATCGGTAACGACGTGTCATAAAATCTATGCTGATCGATTACTAAGGCGCCACAGGTATGAATGAAGGGCAAGTTAACCCATTTGCTGGGTGTGACAATAGGCATTAACCGTTTAAAAATAGCCAAAACATGGTGCATTCCAGGCATAATTTGTAAATGCTTCCCGCTTTTCGATCGACTAATCGATCAAAAAACACGTGTCGACGAAATGATAAGCATCTTCGATTGGTTACTCTCGTTACCTCTAATCGGGTCCAATGAGGATATACTCGGTTCCCCATTAAGTTCATCTCTCATGTACTGAGGTATCGGTCATTGGGCCTCTCAACAATCGTATTTTGAAATAAAAGACCGACCCCCCCCCCTCCCCCTCTTCAGCAAAGATCCCATCCCCTCTACAAATTGACCAATCAGAAAGTCAATCGTTTATTAAAAATAATTGAAATACATGCTTATGCGTCTATTTTTTGGTTAGTGTACACTGTGGTTTGGACTAAAGGTTCCTCTCTCTCTCCCTCGCTTCCTTGGGTTGAAATAATGTTAGGTGTTATAAAAGCCAAATATTAAAATAAATATCAAATACGCAAATTTAAAATATGGCATTAGATAAATATTACGAATTGTAGGTTAAAAGTCAAATATATTGTCGAAAAATATAAATTTATATATAAATCTCTTGTTGAGTCCTTTCCAAAAATTTTGTATCTAATCAATTTGAAGACCACAATTTTATTGGCAAGTCGTATCGATTTAAGAAATAAATGCGCGCGTAAATTCCGTAAGAACCACCAATCAAAAAAATATTTACATTTCAGGAGTCAATCAATTAGTGAAACAAAAATTACATTCTCAGCAGAGTGGCCGCCTACATTATGGCGATCAAAATGCAGGAAAATCCTAAAATTTATGAAGCGTGAAGACATTCCCCCTTCAGCTTTTGTTCACCAATTTTTAAAAAAAACAATATCCACCTGTCTGTCGAATATACCGAATTTTTTCAAGTGGTAGGCTTTTTAATAGTTATCATTAGCCTTTTAGTTGACTTCGGGCTTCACAGAGAGGAGGAGGAACATCAAAGTGGCAAAAAGTCGAGATAGGGGACAGAATAATGATTCACAGATATAAAAAAGACAGACATAAAGGTAGAGAAAAGGGTGAGTTGAGTACTGTAAAGGAGTCGAATATGACATACACTCGGGTCACGGTAGTTTGAAGTAAGAAGTCAACTGCCGGTTAATAGACTCTTTTGCGGTATTAGTATACGTTGCCCAGGGTGCACTACGTGGCGATAAGTCTATTGCAAACCCCGAATATAACAAATTAACATTTACAAACCCTATTTGCGAACAATAATTCGAACTTTGCCATTTGCGCAGCATCGAAATTTAGCATTGGTCGCTTAGCTACATTTTAGAACTCCTCTGATTTCTAAAATGTAGCTATCTTCCTCATCATTAATCAACAATAACTAACCCAAAGTCTAGGAAACGGATCCAAATGTTAGAATTTGGATTGCTAGATCTTTCGCCCACGAGGTCTAACTTATTATAATTTGAGTTAGAAAAACCAGTTAATTTAGAATTCAGATGAAGCAAGTCCCTGATAATATTGACTAACGACATGCAGTAGAGAAGGTACAAATTACTTTTATAATACATGGGAAGGCTAAGCTCGTCTTCTACATTATCCTTCGAAGGGCAGGCAGTATCCACCTTGCATACCACTTGAATCGCGGCTCTGTAGGAACCGAAAGACCTTCAGCAGTCACAGGCCTGAGATATTGCGGATCCCAGAGACGCTTTCTCTCCA